CCTTGCAAAGACTTTCTTCGATCGAAAGAAGCATTTCCTCCAACGCCTGCAAATAAGTCAAGGAAATACGTTCGGCGTGAGCGCTGCAGAGGTCCGCAAGCTATTCTGATCGTGTTAGACAATGGGGCGGACAAGGCGCATGAGACACGGACCTGATTGAACATCTCAGCTACTTCGTCTCCCATGTTCAGGCTCGTGTCGACCTGATCTACCAAGCTGTCCAAGCCGCCCGAGCAACGGACGAGAGCGACCGAAGTACGAAGGACGCGCAATGCGTTTATCTTGTAGTCGCGATGTGTCTTTGTAACCAGTTCCTCCGCCGCGCGGGGCCAGAGAACAGGTGAAGACGGGAATCCCAGGGTTACGAGGTGACTGGTCAACGTTAGATATCACAACAGGGATGGTACAATGGGTAGTCCACGCACTCCATTACTTGGTCTAGTATGACAGCAGCGATTGCGATATTCTCATCATGGAACCCGATGACAATGTCTATGGCTTGGGCTATGTTGAGGGATTGCGCGGACGACATCGTCTTTCTTGCGGGTCGGAAGGCCGGGGGGGCGGGCAATGCAAATAGCGAGAGGAAGAGGATGATGAGCAGGAGAAGGGAAGGCCTGAAGGAGTGGCGTTGATTCACACAAAGTGAGGTAGGCAGACGAATCGCCACGAGCCGGGCGTGCCACGAGCAAGGACGGCCACGTGACAACACCATTCCGTGGCGAAGTATCCGCCGCCGCCGTGAACGAGACAGGTCAATAAAGACGCCAACAATTGCCTGGGGTGGAAGCTGCACCACGCGCAGATGAGCTTTGACTGACATACTATATATAAGTCGACAAGTGGAAGTATCAAAAACATGACTGATGTTCGGGAACCTTTTAACCGCGGGTTCGTCAGAACACCGCAGACGCATCTTCAATGCCAAACGACGGGAGTCTTCTTTGCCCATCATCACCACCATTATTACATTTCCGCTCCCCGCGCGACTTTGTGACGGGCGGGGCCATACGAATGGGGGTGCCACAGAATCAACGGTGGTGTGTCGAGCAGGAATTCCTGTCTGTGCCCGTGACCCGACGAGCAGCACACCCGCTGTGATAGCATTTACTCATTGGCTGTTACCCGCCGATCAGGACCAAGGAGCGCAGCCCCCAGGCTATAATCGAGCGGGATGTTGAGCCCCATTGCCTCCGTTGTGCGAGGATAGCAAGCAACATGCGGAGCCGCAGAACAACGATGTAACAGCGGGCGCGCTTGGGATCGATGAGACAGCCTCATACTGGTCACAAACCGCCCACAAAACCGCCCTCACCTCGCTACTAGATCGGCGGGACCGCGATAACACGGAATCGGTGGACGTACCTTATGTATGTGAGTCGCACATGAACCGCTGACCGACGGGCAAAGCATGATGGACCGGCCACCCCATGGCGGTTCACGGCGTGTGTCCGCTGGCTAACACTTGTGAAAAGAGCCCCACGGTGCCAGGGAGCCTAAAGACGTGATAAGTCCGATCGCGACGGGTCGTAGTTGTACGCCGAAATCGAGGCTGAACCGTCCGATATGTGCATGCCAGTGACCCGAAACACCAAAGACCCGGTGGACCGTGCGGGCGCGAGATCGTAGCTTGGCCAGGAGACGGCCCATCCGCGCAAAATCGGCGAAGGACCGTCTGGCCCCGTCGTCGCGCATGCAGATATACGTCGTACGACGACCCTCTCAGCCATCTCCACGACGTCTACACCCGAGGCAGCAGATGCTGCGCTAGGGGAGCTGGGTCGCACGGAGAGGCATTCCGATGGGTCGAGTCGCAGGCGCAGTCGCCGCTAGCCGCGCACGACGCCTCCGGGGCCGCGTTCTGCACTACGCGCTGTTGAGTGCTGGGCTCGGCGATACCTGCCGTACGCATCACCTCGTCAGCGGATTCGAGACAGATTACGAGCAAGCGCACTCACCACCTGGATACCGTGCACACCCGAGGACGACGCCTTGTAGTGACAGTCGCGTAGATTGCGGGAATCGGTGCGTGGCCCGCCCTGGCCACAGATATCCCACCAGCGCCGCCGAGGATGCGATGATGCGCAGGCAGTCGTCGTGTGTGGGAAGTACGCTGCATTGTTCTCCCCCGAGCAGCCCCAGTCGCCGAGTTAGGCGGGGATACGCCGCAGAAGCGGAAGCAGACTTGGTGGGCGGAAGCAGAGAGTGGGGGACGCGTGAATCAGCCGCGCGCCGAGCTCCGAGTCGGCCACGTTCCCCGGCGCCAGATTCGCGCTTGTCCCCTTTTGGCAACTACGTTCGGGGCCGCAGTCGGCCACTCGCCCG